GAGTGATAAAAGACGTGCGTCTTAACCCCCAGAGGCCACATCTCTTTCCAATGACATAGAGACCACACGGGTGCAAATATGGTTTTTACTCTTTTAAATCGTAATTCCTTCTCTTTGGCTTAACCTTGTTTGATCGATAACGGTATAAATATGGGGTAGAATTTCCCTAGGATTTTGAATATTTCATTCGCAAAAGCGTAAAAATACATTGTCACGTGGATAAATAGGTTTTTTCAAAAAAGAAAAATGTTAAATTCGATTTTTACGAAAAAGTTTGTATCTTTTTTTTTTTTAAGAGATAAGTCACAGATTCTTTGGAAAAATAAAGGTAAAGATTTGTACTGAAGTGGGAGGAAATCGTTTATTCAATAAATTATAAATAACTATTTTTAACAGGGGCTTGAAATAATGGTAATTTCGCAACTATGAAAAATACTGTAGAATACAAAAAAAAAATACTTTATTTTGAAAATGTCACTTATAATATTCATATTTATTGTTTATATTATTAGTATTTAATTAAAAATATATATTAATTAATGTTATTAACGCAATTAACACATAATCCTGCCCGATGCTCGTCGCACATGCGCCAAAAGCAGGAGACGCACTTCATTCGCGTGCGTGTTGCCTGCTGACTTGATGTACAGTCAAATTTTAGGTTAGGTACATCGATCATATTAAAATTTTATCATAGCGACTAAGAGTACTTACGTATTGGACGACAGCAAAATGAAAATACGCTTTTTATCACGAAAACTCCAAAAAAACAAATGGCACCTTTCTTCTAACGCCGAAGCCACAGGGGTGCAAACGTGCACCTCGCCTACTTTTCGCTGGCTTTACCCTGCGCTTACCCTGCGCTTACCTTTATCTTTATAAAGGGCAATTGCTGAATACACAATGGCTGTATGGCGATTGACGTCAAGCTGCTGCTCGACAATTAGACTAGCCTATAGACATAATTATCGTATATGGTATAAGGCTCCACTGTGCGTGTCCTACGAGAGAGGGGCATTTGAAATTTTCGGCCTGCCCGATTTTCACCCGTGTGGCCACTAGGGGTTAATTTTAATCACAAAAGAAAACTTTTACACGCTTTTTTAAATTCTACGTATACCTCAGACCCGTAAAAAATGAGTCAAAAAAAATCCGAAGACTGTCCGAATTACGTTGCCATTATTTTTGTAACGTATGTACATATTTACCGTGCTTAAGAAGTTAAAAAAAAAAGTGGTTAACAGGGTAACATTTTTTTTTGGAATTCAACTCAATACAAAAGTACATACGTGGTACGCGCAACGCATTCAAGTACACGTGTATGGATACACGAAGGAAGATGGTCGGCCAATGACGTCACGCGTTCTCCTTTCATCCAGATGGAAACGCCGTTCTCGTTATTCGATTTAACGATTAAAACCTTTTCAAGCGAGACGTCACTGGTTTCCATGAAAGGATTCGTTAGCTCGACAGTCGCGTTAAGTTAATCACGCAAACCGATTTCTCTCCTTGCACGTGAGATCGAATCTGCAATCCGTACGAGCGAACGTCATGGACACTTTCGCGACGAACTACGTTAACGCATAGCTACGACACTTCCGCAATATTAAGTGCCCATGCGAATCGATCCAATGGAATTCCTGAAATTATAGTGCGAACATTAAGCGTCGTTCATAGCATCGCGATAAGTGAGATATCGGGGAATCGACAATTTACAATCAGGTCGTGTTAAATGTTTCCTCGCCATATCGATCGATGAGAATCTACGTTTATCTTGGATACGACATGAAATCGCCATTAAGGTATAACGAATCGTTATATTCCTACTTGTTGCAGTCTTCGGGAAGCGACCTCGATTCCATGAGAACGTAGCTTTAATTTTATCAGAACAGAGAGAGAGAGAGAGAGAGAGAGCGAGAGTGAGCGAGCGCGAATTTTCAATTCCAATTAATTAGTCGCTTATTCGTAGCGCGTAGGATATAAAAAAAGGGAACCTCGACGGTTTCCATGAAAATTACAGGGCAACACGGTGAATTTGGTGAACGGGGTTCCTGATTGATGACACGATAACGTTAAATTGAGATCGGCCCGTTTCCACGAAAGGAATGTGTCATCACTCCCGTAGCTTCGTCGAGGATGTCGCCGCTTGTCGTCGATCGTCGTACATCACCTAGTCAGGTCAAGGCAGTGCGTTCATTTCGGCGACTATAAAAATATCCCAAGCCCGGATCGTGCGTTCGCATTAATTTATCTTTATAATTGTTAAGTCTGGGAACCCTCGAGAACCCCCGGTCTTTTTCGCTTTTGTCCGTCCTGCAGGAAAAGGAAGGTAGCCTGTTACCCGCGGTGCCATCCGAATTAAAGGTTGCTAATGAAAACGCCGCCTATTTTAGCCTCTACGACGAAGCACGTTGAGCCAATAGAAGAAGCTCAGGCATACGAAGGACCGTATCAATAGCCAGCCGATATGCAGCGTGACTTGCCATTGAAAATTTAGCACCGTTTTAAGAGCTGACACCGGTTAAAGTCTCGTATTGTCAGTAATGTACAAAAATGACTGTTTTAGGTTTTAGCTTTAAAATTATATATCCCAACCTCACGTTGAACTTTCGCGATCTACTTTTAAGACAGAGATATTAGGGTTCGTTCGGATCAAAGGCAGCGAACAGCAGGCAGCGGCCAATAGCCTGGAAACCCTAACCAGCGATTCCAGTAATATCTTCAACTTGAGATTCCTGATCGAATGTACATACGTACATACACGAATCTTAACTAATCAATATTTTGTAAAATTATTCAGGTCTAAAATCGTGCTCACGCTTGCCAAACCCAGTATTAGCCTGAAAGTTCTGCCTGTAGGATCCCGTAGACTAAAACCGGTGTCAAGTTTTGCTAAACCCAAAGAAAAGAAGGAACGAAAATTGTATAGGCTCAAACCGGCACCAGATTTATACTTACAATTTGATTTGATTTTAACGAATTTAAAAGAATAAACGCTTCCTGGTGACTTTTCTATGAAAATTTCGTTCCATTAACTTCTGCAATTACGCGCCGAATACACGTTGTGATTTTTTAGAAAATTCTTGCCCCGTGGTGGGTGCGATAGGCAGGGGAGGTTGTCTTTTTTCAAATTGATACTTCACACAAATTTTGTTCTCGTAACCGGGACATGACGGATGACGAATTTTCCAATTTCCATTTGCTCTCCAGTCATGCGTGCGTATGCGTCAACGGGCACGTGTTAAATTCGTGACGTGTACAAATAGGATAATATTAATCTACTGTAGCGTCCCCTGTACAATACCCATCCTCCTTCAATTTGCCAGCTTGTCGCCCTTCTGACCTCTTGGCCTGCCTGATGTCACGAGTTAAGATAAATCGCGAGATCCTTTTCGGGAGTGAATCACAAAGGGGACATTTGCCGAAGGACGAGTGAACGACGGTGCTGCCATCTCGGTCGATTGGTCTGATCTTCTTGACTTCCTTTCAACCGAAACGAAAGGAACGAAACTTTTTAACGATCGGCCCATTGCCGCGGGTTCCTCTATACCGAAATTACATTATTTGACTGAACCCTATGACGTCAAAGAGACGGAACGGAGATGAATCTTCGCGTCTTTGACAGCCAATGACTCACAGTAAATCATTGTGGTAGGACGACTCGTACCCTTTCTGACGTTGATCCTCTCGTTTTACGGACACATTTTCTCAACCTTGTGAAACCTTAATTGACTGGGTCGACTAACCTGATTTTTCTATGGAGTTTGAGTTTACTTGTGGGATATATGATATATATATATTGCTTGTATTAATGATTGCGTCATTGTCGAAATTTATTGGGGCATTGATTAAAATGTATATCAATAAATTGTATGCAAAAATTATACCATGATAATACGATTCTTCGAACAACTGTTTTAATCACCGACAAATTATTTTATGATAAGACTTGCCAGACTCGCGGAACAATGGCAGACTGCGCGGCGCGCACGTATATATGTAAATATATATCGATATAGATATCCAAATCTATACGTATACATTTAAAATGAGCAATTTATGCCAAAATATTTGTTCGCTTATTCATACATTCACAATAAATTGTTAGACCAAATTGTCAAAAAATGGATAAAATATCGGTGTCACTCACAGTTTTTTCATCCACAGTAATCAGATAAAAAAACGTGTCTCTTATTCTGGACCCTGAAATTCTACGTATACGTAGTGCCAGTGAAGCGTAATTTTCAAGAAAAAAAAAAAAAAAAATGAAAATCACGTCATATAGGTAAACATTTCTTCGAGCAGTAATCCTAGCAATATTTTATTTCCATTCGGCGAAGATAACTAAGAAAAACAGTAAAACGGTATCATAGTTGTTATCTTCGTTCTCCAATCGAGATCCGTTAAACAATACCGAACGTAATTAACATTCTTACAGTCACCCAAAGAACAACTTTTTGACAACTGACAAAAAAAGAAAGTGTTCTCCAATGACGCAATCGGACCCTTTTTCGTGCATAGATTTAATGCATGGTTTGACGCGAGCGAGCCAGGCCCACGTGTTCCGTCCGTCAAAAATTGTGCTCGAAATTCCATTCTTGTAAGAGCAATTTACGTCAGCTGTGCTTTCCTATAAATATTCATGATTGAGAACGATCGATTATTATGGTCAAGTGAACACGACGAACAATGACAGCTCTTATCTGTCTTGCTGACCAAAATCGATATCGAATATCGATACGAAATAGTCTTCCATTGAGAATCAAATTAATTTAAAGTGTTCCTCCACGATAATACGAATATTTGAGAAATTCAAAAAAAATCTACTATAGTATATCCAATCCACAATATACACGTATTACATCCCTGCTGTAACACGGATGGCGCTGTTGCAATACGACCTCGAAAAATCCTCAGGGATGAAACGCGATACAAAAATAATATTCCAAAAATACGAATACTTCCCACGTGATCCCCCAGTCTCGCACGGTTATTTACAGGTACGACAAAAGTACGCCCGACTTGGTGATTCTATACAAGAACCGTAACCCGTGATGGCACGAAGCACGAGGACTGGCGACGGCGAACGTCACCGTCGTAGACGTCAATGAAATTGCACAAGCGTAACAAGATTTTGCGTAAGAGTCTCACGTACCCTAATATATTCGCAACGTCGAGCCTCCTTTTTTTCACGAGCACCACCTTGCAGTTGCACAAGGTAAGTGTTACTCGTGTTATAAAATCACAATCGATTAGCATTCATTGAGGCTCGACGTCTTCGTTGAGAAACATGACGGTATAGAATTTATAAGGATACGAGAGTACAAGTAATATATAAATGGGGATAATGAACAATTCATTGATGGTAAATTAGGGCGAAGAAAATTGAACATTGTATAACGTATTATCGCAATTATGTTCATTAACGATTAAATTTGAACAATTAACTAATTGATTATATTTCATGGACTCTACGCGAATCCCTTTGATTTTGCAAGAAAAAAAATTATTCTTCATTTCCAGCCCTTTCGACGGACTTCGTTATTGACTGACGTACGAGTGTACACGCTGGCAAGAAAAACTTCAGCTGTCATTAGATGTATGACGACCGGGAGAGAAAATACGTTGAAATACGTGACGAATAAGGTGGAAGATTTTACAGGATCGATTTTGAGTTACATGAATTCTGTATACGTATAGCTATGTACGTACGTATACGACGAGGATATATGGATATTCTATAATATGTATATATTCATAGGATATATACGTATGAAATAAATTTATAAGGTTCTGACAGGCTCCTGGCAACTGTTTTCAGATGTTAAAGTAAAAGACGAGAAAAGATGGAGTAAGTGAAATCTTTGTATGAATTTGACAAGTGATTGGGAAATCGATTACGTAGAGATTTGGTAGGGTGAGTTCTTATGAGAGAACCGAGAGCCATACATTTTAGTACAAACTGGAATCATAGATGGCGCTGGCTAGCAAGTCTCGCGCGTGCACAATATCTCAGGATGAAAACCGCATTAATTGCCGCTTTGGTCAACGTTCGTCCCGACAGGACGTTCCATTTGCGGTTCGAATAATGCAGATGCAATTCGATGGCGGCGACCAATTTCTAGACAGGTACTTGGGCATAAACGAGTTAATCGAATGTGAAGCAATTTAACGGGAGTCCGATTTAACGATTTCACGATAATTAATTACCTCTCGGGAAAGTAGGTACCGAGTAAATGGGATAGGGAAGGTATATACTACTGACGTCGTTACGGGAACTACGTAGAAGCGAGAAACTTCTGACCTTTCGCCACCTCGTTCGCCATGGAGGTAAACACGGTCGCTCGTGCGAATTAATTTCCTCCAACTTTTACCCTCCATGGAAAATTAGTTTATCATATCCAATCCAGACTTCGTGACAAAGTAGTTTCCTATTTCGTAAAAGTATAAGAGCCACGAGTGCCATAATTTGACGAACAATTAATTATTCTGACAAATATTAATATTCGCCCGAAAAAATCGTTCGATCCTATGGTCCTACTTGAAAATTTTTTATTTCATATTTTTTTGGATTAATCAATTTTTTTTTAAGAATTTCACTCCAACTGATTTGTAGGAATCTTTGAAAAATCTAAACAGTTTTACATCTGCTGCCGTATTCGTAGATTAGCATATTCATGTTGACCTTTGCTCTTGTACGAAACGAAGATTCCAATGATCCTCCTCGTTCTCACAGAATGACAAGCTCTCGGTTGTCTCTTACGGAATTTTAATAATTTTCGCAAATGATGTAAAAATGATTAAGAAACTTTCGTGAACCGCTTCGTCCGAAGCTTTCGCGGAAAACGTAAAATCTCGCTCGCATTGATACGAAAAAGATTTCAAACTGGATTTTCCAGTCGAAATTCAAAGAAATCGATGGCCAATTACGACTGCGAGCTCGATTCGACAAAGAGAAAAAAAGTCCGAGGGGTGAGTACGAGTACGAGTACAGCTAATAAAGATTGTTAAACTCCGTAGAGAAAAAAATTAAAACCCAATTTCAGTAACGCCTACAGCCAAATACGATATTTCGTAAAGCCCTAGAAAATAAAAGGCATTGAAATTTTTCTTTTAGCTACGACCCCGCCTGATCGTACCAAATTGAAAATCAATGTCACGTTAACTTCCGGTAGCTGCGCGTGAGCCGTCGTTCACCGGAAATAACGACTACGTTAAATAACTACAGTAAGCCGATACTGTACTACGAAATCATTACGTAGAATCTCAAAATGACGAATTCAAAAGACTACGTCAAAATTCAGCTGTCACCCTGTATATTTTACGTCAAAAGTACTCTGGTATGATCACTGGATGCTGGGATCTGATGTACCGTAAATAAATGAACAACGCCAGGAATTCTTAACAACAGAAGATTGACTACGTCAATATTCGTGAGACTAAATAAAATGACGTATGCAAAAAGTCAATACACCCTCATGCCAATTGTCGTTAATGTAATTTGTCTGAATAAAGAGCTCGCAGAATCCCATTCGATTTCTCGAAATATATATAATCCTATTAGTCTGATGAAATTTCTATAATTAACCCGAGTAACGAATTTCACCCTAACGTTGTAACTAATTTGATCGTATACGTTGAGCAAGGGGGAATAGACTCTTCTCATTGGATGGGTGAAAGAATTTCGTGAATTCAAGTGACACTCTCAAAGTGAGCTACGCAAAGTCTACGTTTTCACTGTAGGGCATATTCGAGCGGATAGGCGAACGTCGTAGGTTCTTCGACGAGGACATTAATGTTGAGAAGTAAGTACTGTACCTTGAGGGATGCCATGTCGGAGACGGATCGATGGGTCTGAATGGTTTCCAACTGGTCCAAGCACCAATCGAGTTCCTCCATCGTTTCAACGGCGAGCTTCATGTAGGGCTCCTCTACAAATAAAAATGTGAATTTTAAAAAAATGTTCAAAAAAAAATACTTGTTACCAAAAAAGAGAAAAAATAAAATAATGATCTTTTAACTTCATCGCTAATTATTATATTGAATCAGTACCTCCTGGTGCCAGGATCCTCGGTTGGGGCGTACTGCTTCCCTGGGCGGCGCTACTCCTACGCGACCTGCAAACAATTTTCATAATTAAGGCAAATGCAGTGCTTCGAATTAGAGGCAGGTGTACCCAGACGTGACTTTTGACTAACTCTTAACATACGGAGTACACACACGTGTTTTTGTATAATGATGGTCAAAGTTCGTAATTTAATGGAAACAATCGCATTTTCAGTTTATAGTTCCCAACTGCGTTAACGTGAATAAAGTCGACAGAGACCGTAATAGAAAGTTCACGTATACCTACAATCTATAGTGTTGGGATTAAGTTAAAAAAAAAAAGCAATATCCGAAATTACCTCCTGCTGATTGTAATTCCCAAGAGGGGATGTATAATTCGTGTGAGTGTGCGCGCGCGCGCGCGCGCGCGCGAGAGAGAGAGAGAGAGAGAGAGAGAGAGAGAGAGAGAGAGAGAGAGAGAGAGAGAGAGAGAGAGAATAATTTCAGTATCCACAGATCGCACGATCAATCAATTTTGAGACAGAGTGATGTTAAGTAATGAAATGAACTTACTTATTGGTCGGCACATTGGTGAGCGACAGGAAGTTGTTTCTGACGGAGCGCAGAGAAGCAAGTATCTGTGCGAAGGGTGTAACAATGAGATCCTCGCCATGGCTGTAAATGAAAAAATAAAGAAATATTAATCAACAAAGTCGAAGAATGTATATCAATCGTTTTACCGATTGGCTGTAGCGTCATTGTCTATTTGCAAAAGCTGCTCTATCGTCATGCATGTATATAGCCACATCATATCGATACAAGTGTTTTCACGCGAAATAAGACTCACGATTAAATCGCCAATAATAGGATATACAGTTGGGTCCGCGAGATCATTTTTCAATTTGAGGGGCCATCTAGTTAGCATATGAGAAGTAAATAAGTCCCCTCGAAACCGATGTCGCAGCTCGGCTACATATATTTGCATTCGGAATTTTGCAAGTCTCACTGAGCGCGATTCAGCTGATTCCCAGAATATTAAAGAGACGCTCGTGACATTCCTCGACGAATGCTACGTGCGGGGAAATGTAAAATGGGGAACAAAGTGATTCGCAAATATTTTCGCGAAAATTGGCAGATAAGAATTTTCAAGTGAAACGAAGCAATGTTCGATGCTGATTTTTATATGGCAGATCCAAGAATTTCGTTTTACGTATATTAGTACATAACTGGATGGTGATTGGGTATCGATAAATTTTTCGATAAAACTTTCAAATTTGATTTTTTTTTAGCTTTCGAAGAACACTCACATTTAATGGACGTGCGATGTTTGCACTCGAATGAAATTTAAAATAAATTTTAAAAAAATGTCAAAATGCAGTTATCATATATACATAATTACATCTACCACTTTCACTTTCTCGTATCGTCATTGATATCGTGCGAATGTTCAATTTCGCAAAAAAAGAAAAAAGGTTATTTCGTGTCGGAATCTCAATGTAGCCCCGAATAAAGGCGACATCTTTTCAGAAGGAAATACGTTTAAGAATACGTTTTGTGTTTTAAAGTGGATTCCTCGACTGCGCCAGGTTTTATTGGAAATGGCGAGAGAACCTTCGTGATTCAGGACTTTCCTTTGAGATCCTTCAAAAGTTTCTTTCTCACGTACGCAATCGAATTACAAAAGACCGATCGCTTAGCACATCCCAATTTCCAGTCTCTTGGCTTCCATTGAAATCAAAAATTGCAACGTATCTCTACACCACTTTTCAATTCCAAGCACATACCACGTAAAAAGTGCATTCACCTTATGCATTTTTCACGAAAAATCGAAACACCACCACCAGACTATTTACATCCAAGGATAAAAAAGTTCCTTTGTCAAATAAATATTACAGACACATACAGGCAGTTTCATTCGACAAATCTTCCAGACGCCTGTACATGCAGCATCGAAAATTCATTAAAAAAAAAATTATCAAACTCAATCTCTTATCCCAGCATCCAATCTGAATGCCAAGTGTAATTCATTTAATCTCACTACAGAAACCACGAAATTTCTCCAAACGAGAAACCATCAAGATACGAAGGCACGACGATCTTTGTAAAACCAGAAGGATCTCGTAATAAAAATCTATAAAGTAAAAAATTTCTATCGTCGGCTCGTTCGGCTTCCTGGGAAATGTAATCTTCGCTGCGTCTGGTTAGACGACAACGAGGTCGAAAGAAAAGATTGCGATTAACGGCGAGAAGTTTCATCAAACTTTACAGCTGCATAATGCTGCCGTGAAAGTGAGACGAGAAGATACGCAATGATGGAGAGAGAGAGAGAGAGCGAATAGAAGGACGTGGTAACGCGGATACAGTATAAACCGACGGGATACGCGTATACTTAAGAGCCACGTCCTTAAGCGCAGTGAAAATAAACGTTAAAAGGAAACACCCTATAAATTCGTGAGGTAATAACGGTAGCGAAGCTCCGTAAGATAGAGACGAGCTAAGTGAAATATCGTAGACGACGTGAGTGTCCGCTGTGACTGTTATTATTAGAAGCCACCGATTACGATTAAATACTATAATTTACATTCGGAGAATAGAGAAGATCCTCCTGAAAGCTTTTACCAGTAAAGCCGCCACATAATACAGTCTATAATTTTCAAGTCCCGACCGAGCAGTATGAGAACCTGTACAATAGACTTTCGGGTCCTAAATCAATGCAGATTAAAGTCCCACTACATTGGTCGATTATGAGTTACATCCCCGGGCAAATTAGGGTATTTGGTATTCGGGCCGAAAAAGCGACAAGATAATCACCAGGGACGTGTTATCCGGGTTATAGAAGATTAACGAAAATACAGATCGTCAATTTCACTTATATAAATTGAAAGATTCATGTTTCACGATTTGGCGTTTTTCTCTTCCAGCATCCCGAATTGACTGTGGCGAAATTCAGGTCGGCCGATAAAGCGATTCTCGAGGGGTAAGTAAAGTATATATAGAGCTTATACGAGGGAGGAAATGATCGAGGGCCTTTTTTGCTCCATAAAATTGAAGGGTGGCCTGAGAGACGTATAAGAAGCGCCCAGGGTCATCCCTTAGAAATTCGTCGTATCAGCAACTCCCGAGGAGTGCACTGATAACGTCAATTTGTCCAGGAAGACTCTGTAAGTTTAAAACTCAACCCTTAAATGGTCCATGTGCGTGGGGGGATGATACGGGGACAGGGCAGAGGAGGCTGGGTCCAAAGAGAATTGTGAGAAGTTAAAAAATGTATATATACATATATATCTATAAATTATCAATCATCCCCACCGACGACTTCGATTGCAGACTGAAATTCAGCTGTTCGCCCGAAGGTGGATGCGAGTGATGAAATTTTCTAACCGCGATTTTGATTGATACTCCGACGCGTAGGCCAATTCAAACGAACGCACCGAGACTTCAGACGTTTGAAGGTGTAGCAGACAACTGTGACCTTTTGCCAATTACGCGTGCTCGAATAACCCTTCTCTCAGGTATATAAATACCAGCACATACGGCATCACTGTAGACGCGACGTGTACGTAGTGCGTCATCTAAAGTTGTACGCGCTTAAGTTCAAGTCAATATTTCTGTCTTCCACCCACATAGTATTTTCATTCGCGCTGCGTCGTCTAAAGTAAAATTAAATATCTCGTAGATGAATTCCTGCCTGTGTACGTACATATAGCTGAACACTGCGTCTGACTATAGAAATCCAAAAATAGAAGCTTTGAAAATTATAGAGAGATAGTACAGCCCAACGAGAATATTTAATCGGGCGAATTCACGAAATTATGCACGACCATAGAGACATGAGATACCGGATAGGAGATATGCGTTATACTTGATAACTCGTTAGACCTACGATAAATTATCGTACCTTTTCATATATGTATAGCTTAAAATAGCATGTGAAAAATTGTAGAGGTTCAATAGAAAAATTTTTATTTATAAACTACAAAAAAAAATTGAATCTAAAAGTTATAAATATTCGTATCCCATTGAAAATGCGTTGCCATGTACGATTCATGAAAATACATCATTCGTGTTTTATGTTTGCAGTTTTAACATACACCGTGTATATATTCATATCCGGTGCAAAGGAGTGACACGAATCCAACGTTGGAAGCATTGAAACCGACGGGAACGGAAAGTTGGAATTAATTAGCTGATTCAGGGTTCGTACGAGCGGAGTACATACATGCAATGTACAGGGGATTGTTTATGTACAGTACGAAGAGTACACGAGTGTCGAGAAGGTAGATAATCCCTGGGAAAAGGTTAAAGTTCAAGACAGGTATATGGAAATTGACCTTTCCCGATTCAAGTTCGCTGAGGTCGCTTCGAATCCCCGGATTGAACTTCCGTAGAAATATTCCTGATATAACTCACTGATTAATTAGATAACCACTGATTGGAGTGAAGGATATTGATTACAGTGTAAGAGAAACGCTGGATTCACGAGTGTAGGTACTTTCAGCGGGAAATATCAATTCCCAAGCTTTCGAGTTTAAGGTTATCGATGCCCTCTGTAGAAATGATTCGATATCGTAACATCGATAGGTTAGTAACGCGATTGTAATTCCTTTAGCGAAATACTGATCTCATTTGAAAATTCCATTATTAACTAATTGCGAAATATGTACAGGGTGTACAAAAAATAACAGTAACGCGCGATAGAATGTTGATCACGTGACGCAAAAAAAAAAGATAAGAGAGTATCATAAAAATTTAACAATTTTCCAAAATCCCTCGACGTATTACAACAAATTTTGGATAAACGGGATTTAACGTATCGTTCGTTTGAAAAATGCCCGAAATGTAAACATCGTAAATTGGCGAGATGAAGGCGAACGAAAAAAAAAAAAAGGAAGGAGCTACTCCAGCCGCAACCCACAACCACAACAAAGGCACCTTGGGTTGGCGACGGAGCATGGCGGCGCCCAGACGCTCTGGTAATAATCGCTCAGCACCACAGGGGTGCGGCGTCGCGACGCTACTCGAAAAGTGGATAAATTATCGGTAACTCGATCGTTAGGTTCAAAGCGAATCGTCTGTTTTGCGGATTAGCCATGTATTAACAGTTGGCGATTTTTATGAAAGCTTTTTGAGTAATTGAAAAACAAAATTAATTTTCGTCAATCGCCATAACAGATTTTATATTGGCGCTCGGTTGCTATATTACAGGTAATAGAGAAGTGTATAAAATAAAGGGAAGGGAGAGCAAAGATAAAGAGAGAAAGTCCGGATGGACGTGGAGTTGTCAAACGTGTAGAAAAACAGCTGAACCTTCGCAGATTCAAAACAAGTATATATATAAGTGGTTTAACGGGAGGATTATCAGTGTCCCTTAGGCATTAAAGGTTTTTACTGTATATGTTGGTTCGATACATCAGATGAAAAGCTTACGTTTATTCAGAATTGTTTCTTTATATCGGACCCGGTAGCAACTGGTCACTGTAATGGTTGGTTTCCTCGATCAATATTTGCACCCGCTCAAAGCTCGCTCGGTCGCAGAGGGAAAACCCTCTGCTGCTCCAGTAAAGTTTCAACTGGGTCAGCAAAAGACTCACGTTCCTTGGAGCAAAATATAAAAAGAAACAAAAATCTTGTATCCCCTATGACTGAAGCGTATCCAGTATTCCAAGCATCCCTAT